CTGCTCATCGTGCCGCATGTCAGTGTGTCGTTCAGGGATTGGGGCGAAAGGCTTGATCTGTCATGTTTTTTTTGCCTTGTGGGATTGAAACCATGGATAATAGGTTGCGAGGTGGGTGTTGTTGTTGGTCGTGGTTTTGTGTTGCATGACTGGGTGCTTGTCAAGCCAAGCCGGCGCGCCTTGTCCGTTCAGTGCATGGGCTGTTTCCTGGTCTATGGCAAAGGCTCCTTTGAAAAATGGCCGAATGAGTTGTGGATAATACATGGCAATGGCTGTTCTCTTTCCGTTGTTGGGCGCAAGGCCTGCAAAGCTGCAGGTGTTTCATCGGCCTATGGCCGGGCCGAGTTGTCAAAAGGCCATATGCGGCCAGAGAGGTTCCGAGCTCACGAACAAAGCGAAGTTCATCGGGAGGCTGCGCTGACTTTGGCAAATTGCAAGCAATGCCATGCTGAGTTACATCAATTGCTGCACACTAGGGAAGCGCCCAGCGCATCCGAATTCCAGGCAGCTTTGACTCACAGGCGACAAGGCAGCAGCATTCGGCAAGCTGAACGTCGCAAGCAGTTTTCCTGTGTGCAATTTTGCCTTGGGGACGCCATTCGAGAACAGCTTCGATTTTTTTGCGCCTACTACAGTTTGCCAACATGTGTTTAAACACTTCTTGCAGCATGTGTGTGGTCCCGAATCCAAGCTACAGCATTTGGAAACAGCGGGTCGGCCGTGTCCCCGAGGTGGTTGATGAGGTCATGCCCCACAAGAAGCGTGACTCGCGCGCCATCTGTGTTGAAGGCGGTGGTTTTTGCCGAAGAAATTCGAACAATTCCTTGTCAAACAGCTGCTTTTGGCTTTTGTCTGGCACGAAAGGTGCATCCGTCAAAGGGGAACTAACCTTCCGCAAAATGTCTTCGGTCAGCTTGGCGTATCCGTTCACTGGGTTCAGTTCGCCGGGCGGTTTCCACAAATTGCCAAACGTGCCCTTGCGGAGCTGCAAATCCTTGTCCACAGCTGTAAAATGCATTGTGAATCGTTTACCTTTGTTATCGTGTTTCGATACATGAGCAGGGGACTTTGGGTTTGTCCAAAAACGATTTGATGCCAGCGTTTTGGTCCGTGTTCATGATGCAGACCCACGGCCACAATCCCTGATCAAATGCTTTTCCCAAACGAATAAAGAATTCTCCTGAGTTCCAGCAGCTTTTCTGAAAACAACGTGAAGAAAGAGCCTACCCCGCTGGCGACTGGCCACAGAGCGAGCTTTGCAATGACCAGGTTGTTCTTCTCGCTGGATGCGGTGTTGGCAACAGCAGTGCAGGTTCAAGCCTTGCGACATGGCAGCACAGAGGCATCTGACGCGTCGGATTTCTTACCCTTTCTCAGCTGGGCAACTGGTGCAAAGAACGCGCTGCTGACTGCAATGTTAGTGGACGCATTCGACATTTCTTTATGTTTGCTCCGGCTCTTTGACAAGGATTCCTTCGATGCTGCGGAGTTGCATCAGCAGTTGAACAATTTTGTTCGGAAATTGGGCGCAGCTTTTTGCAAGAAAGGCATCTTGACCACGGAGCCATGTTGCAGCTCTGGAAGAAGCCACGGGCGTTGCAGTGCAGACGCGGGGTTGTGATCATCGGTGGGCAACCCATTACGCAAGCCATCAAGAACACATGCTTCACTCATTTGAACGCATTTGTGGTTCTGGCCATCCAAACAGTGCAAGCCGAGCTTCCTTCCTTTGAGCCCTCGTCAGGTTGTCGCGGCTGGCATCGATTTGCCGGGTGAACCCGACGAAGCTGCAGACGCAACACTTCAAGGTCTTGCCAGCTGCCCTTGCCGCCTTTGAGAAATCAAAGGCAACAGAGAAACTAAAGGCGCCCCTTCAAAGTGTCGATTTCTGGAAAGAAGCATTGACCAGTGGTTGTGCCCCGCAACATGATGAATTGCGAACTGCAGTTGCCAGACTTGGTGCCTTCACTGGCTGCATAACTTCTGCCACTGAGCGAACTCACACAGCGCAGGACTAAAGGCAGAACCACTTTCATGAACAAACACAATTGCAATTGCCAGAGATGTTTGGAAGATGGTGTACGGGCGGCCACGCAAGCGCAAACAGGAACCATCAGGCTCGGGTCAGCCGAAGTTGAAGAAGTTGAAGACAGGTGTGCGTGTTGGCAAAACAAAAGCCGAGACCAACTTGGCAAGCCAGAGTGGTTCTAGCAACATGGCGATCGTCTCCACGCGTGCCACTAAGGAATGTCACAATGTTTGGAGTCACACGCATGCTGCTGAACTTGATTTTCTGGCCAAGAATTGGCAGGAGGCCTTGTTTGATGCAATTTGTGATGGCCGCCTTCCCAACGAGACTTCGGCAGTTGACAAAGCGCGTGCGTAGCAACATCGGAATCATCTGCTTGGGCTGAAGGATGACCGTGCCAAGGATGAAACCAAGCGCAGGGAAGCGCTGACGCACATTATGATCCCGATCAACCCTGACAGGCACCATGTTTATTTTGCAACAGACATTCCATTACATCATGCGCAGGCTGCAACGAATGGTGCCGGAGATTGTGCCCCGAGAATCACAAAGAGCCTCGTAGACGCCGCTTGTAGTGCAATCAAGGATTTCAGCTTCACCAACGATTTGTCAATCCAACTTCACCCGCTGGCATGGGCAACCTGCCTTCGGGGAGGTGTGTTGGCAAACATGAAATACGTCGATGCAGTTGTGAACAAGAAGGGCAATCCCTGTGGGGGAACACGCTTTGCCTTCAAGACAGCGCTAGTGACACCAAGGAAGCATTGGCTTCAGGGGATGCAACTGCATCGTGTCTTGCAATCATGCACGAACCAAAAAGCAGCAATTGGAGGCAAGTGTGGGGTTCGTGTTGGCGACGGCCAAGAAGGATTGCGGGCTATCAGCCATAGCTTTTGTGGCCGACGATGAGAGGGACTGATTGCCGAGTTTATTATTCTTTGTTTGTTTATTGTTTCATTTTGGGGCGTGATTCAGGGTCAACTTCAAAATGTTTCATTGCTGTGGACAACGTTGCAGGAAGTCGTTGCAAACAAACTTGGCTCGCGGCTCGTCGCTGCATCCGATTTCCTGGACAAGTTCGCCCGCATCGACCGCCAGCATTCCACAAAGGGGCTGGCTGTGAGGAATTCATGGATATTCCGACGATTGAAATACCTTTTTAACTTTTTCAGGCTTGAAGACTTGTTGAATCATTTTGACGGAAAATTGAAAACACTGAAAGCGGGATTTTCTTAGGGGGCTCGTGGACGTCCGTGAGCTCCCTGACCAAAAAACAAACAACTCTATGGGTCCGTCGGGGACTTGCTGAATTTACAACCCTCCCTAAGGAGCCATGGCCCAGAAGAAAAAACTCTATGAGGCCTTAGGGAGCTCGTGGACGTCCGTGAACTCTGTAAGAAAAACGCTGAGCGGGATTCCCTTAAGGTTGTTGATTCAGAAGCTAGATCCCTGGCCTGAAAATATGCCCTTGATTGACTCCAAATTTCCGGGGTGATCCCAAAAGCAAACCACGCAGTTCAGCCATTTTTCGTTTGATCTACGCCCCAGCTGCTAGGACCGTTTAGGTGGCTGGTCGGAATGGCAGCAACAAGAGCAGCGGCGGCTCAAAACGGCAAGGCTGACAGAATCAAGGAGGCAAAAGGCCAAGAGGCCTGGGCGCCGGCGACCTAGGAGCATCCTCTTCCTTGGTAGACCAGCTGGAGCACGAGGCTGGATAGGCTTTGTTTCTTGAGGTGGTTTGCGTTGGGGTCGACATCATAGTGCTTGTAGTCGTAGGTCACAAACACGCAACAAAGTCCTACGGCTGATAACCTGTGATTCGGCACGAGCCTGTGCCCAGGCGAAAGGTGAGATGGGGTAAACAAGCCACAAAAAGAAAGACCCAAAACAGCAACCAATCTCCGGTCCCAAAGATCAGGGTTTCCAACACACAAGTGACCAAACAACCACAGACCAAACCAAACGGGAAAAGGATACCCGCAACCTGGGTCGACGATGAACTGCACGGGCACTCCCCACCAACCTGCCCCGGGCCGAAGTCTCTGTCCCCTCCAACACGTAGGTGATCGACGTGGGGACCTGGCGACGCTCATCCGAGGCCGCGACGGATCCAAACTTGAGCCAAACACCACGGGATCGTCACTAACGTAACATACCCGATGATGCTTCCAACACATGGCTAATCACAGAGAAAGAGAAAAAGAAAGAGAAGGAGCAGGATGAAGAGAAAAAGAAACAGAACGTGAAAGAGAAAGAGCAAGAGAAAGCAAAAGAGAAAGGTGAAGGAAGACAAAACAAGATAAATGAGAAAAAAGACACCAAAAGAGAAACAAAGGAAGGAGAAAGAAAGAGATAAAGAAAAGAAGAGAAAGAGATAAAGAAAGAAAAGAGAAAGAAAGGAAAGATAAAGAAAGAGAAAGAAAGACATTTGATGAGGGGAAAGAAGAGGAAGAGAAAGAAACAAAGAACTATAATTATTATATTTGAAACGTCCGCCCCGGCATTGCCGGCTCTACTGGTTCTAGAAGAATGTCTAGCGCTTAAAAGAGTTCAAATATGTGGTCCTTACAAATGAGCTTCATGCCAGTAGGTTTGAAGGGCACTGCACACCTGCTGATTTAGGTGGCCCCCCCCTCACACACTCCCCGCATAATGGCAGCTTTCTCTCCTACAAAAGTCATATAATGGATGGGCATTCTGCTCTATTCTAAAGATTGATTCCGACTAACTCCAGGCACACCACCCAAGTAACAAACACAATAGTCTTTAGGCTGTCAGCCACCAGAATCACATGGTTTTGTGTGTGTGTGTGTGCATATTCTATCTGGTCAACAAGTATTCTATCTGACTTTTTGTTCAAAAGGCGGACATCTCAACACTTTGCCTTTTTGGGCTTGAACACTCAGTCTCAACACCAATGTTATAATATTCTATGTGATTGTCCGGCACTTGAAGCGTGGCCAGCCCCCGCCTTCTCCACATGAGTTTCCTTGAGTTCCGTCAGGCATGCAAAACCATGTGTGAGGCAATCAGCACACACAACGGCATGGCCAAACATGAGCCGGCGATGGCTTTCTAAATCCAAGGCTCCGTAGTCCCCGTCGCAGCCAGCGGGGGCAGGGAGACCCACCCTTTGAGACACACAGGGTTCCCCGCCAAAGCAGGCTGACGGACCATCGGGCATGAACACGTCGCACTCCACCGCTGTGGTGAGCCCGGTCTGGAAGAAGCCCGGCCTGCGGTCTCACTGGCTCACCCCAACTTGGAACCAACGGCAGTGCTCAACATTGAGCAGGACGAAACTGTGGCGCAAAGACCAAGGACTAATTCCGGGCAAGCCACAGTGCAATTGGCTGAGCATGGACCCTTGCTGATGCAGTCCCATTTTCGTCAACGGTCGCATTCTCAAAACCCCCCCGGCAGTCAAGGCCCTGGAAGTTGCATGGCATGCATCTGACCAGCTGACCAGTGCTGGCATCCAAGCTTGCGTGGAAGGCAGCATCGCAAAAGCAGTCATCCAGGCTGGTGGCCGCTGGCTCGCTGTCTGCGTTGGTCGGGCAGGTCAGGGGGCATTCCCCGTTGCCGATGTTTGGCTTGTAAGTCTTGCGGGCGCATGGCCGACAATTGGTGTCAACAGACCCATTGACAGCCACAAAATAGTAGCCAGCATCACAGATACAGTCAGATGGAGATCTGCCTATGGTCACTGTAGTGGAATTCTGTGGGCATCGCATTGCTCTCCCGGTTCCGGGGCAATAGAATCCAGGCTGACAATCTGCACAATCTCCAGCTTCATCTGCGTAGGTGCCTGCCTGACAGGGAGAAACCTATATCTCACAGGCATTTACATGTTCATTTGCATGTTCATGACAGGCAAGCATCTAGTTCTGGCTGGTTTTTGGGCACACTGGCACGCCTGACACTGGCACTGCTGGAGTGAAGTTGCCCCGGTGACCAGCGTCGACATGAGTGTGGGACACCTGGAGCAAATACCGTTCCCAACCACCGCCTCACAGGGAATGACAGGGAATGACAGGCAGGGAACAGCTTCAAAAGGACCAGGTAATAGTAATATCACATATTTCAAGCGCCAATGCCAAATCAGATTCCCAAGAAGCTTGAAGTCGGAAGTCGCAAAAGGCCAAAAAGCCAAGACACTGACATGTGAAAGCACAAGACCAAACAAGAGCAAAAGAGGCCACGTCAACGCTCAGGCGCAAACGAGCATCTTAAAAAGGCGTGAGGTGACTGGACAAGCTTCACAAGTGCTGAAAAGGGTCGAGCCTTGTACTCACCCAGCGTGCAGGAGTCACATGTGGCAGTTGCAGGGTTGTAGCCATATCCCGGGCTGCATTGACAGTCAGCTGAGCTGAGAACAGGTACGCCTGCGAGGCAGAGAAAAGAATTGCTGGACCTGAAGACCTGGCCGGGAACCCTCAGCCACATCCAGCCTGGAGGCACTGAGCGTCTTGCCGGGCACTTCACCACAGTGGAGGTGATTACTGGTGCGGACGTCAAGTCGAGCTGGATGCCTGTGCTAGACAGCGTCCTCGGCACAGCGACAACAGCACACAAATCAGCACCTGCCACGTCTGCAGCTGCACAAAGAAGAGACCAACGTCCAATTAATGAGACGCGATGCGGAGAACCTGGTGGACGATGAGATTCGCGCGCGAATCCCGAATCCCAAAGCCGGACCAGAGGATGGCGCCTTCCCACTCCGGAATCCCGAATCCCGACTCCCGAATCCCGAATACCAACCCTGAACTAGCCCTAAACCAATCCTAAACCAACCTGAAACAACCCTAAACCAACCCTAAACCATGCAAGCCTAAACCAGCCCTAAACCATGCAAGCCTAAACCAGCCCTAAACCAAACCAACCCTAAACCAAGCCTAAACCAACCCGAAACCACCCACCAGACCAACCCTCAACCACCCCTAAAACTAACCCTAAACCAACCCTAAACCAAGCCTAAACCAACCCTAAACCAAGCCTTTAACCAAACCAGCCCTAAACCAAACCAACCCTAAACCAAGCCTAAACCAACCCGAAACCACCCACCAGACCAACCCTCAACCACCCCTAAAACTAACCCTAGACCAACCCTAAACCAAGCCTAAACCAACCCTAAACCAAGCCTAAACCAGCCCTAAACCAAACCAACCCTAAACCAAGCCTAAACCAGCCCTAAACCAAACCAACCCTAAACCAAGCCTAAACCAACCCGAAACCACCCACCAGACCAACCCTCAACCACCCCTAAAACTAACCCTAAACCAACCCTAAACCAAGCCTAAACCAACCCTAAACCAAGCCTTTAACCAAACCAGCCCTAAACCAAACCAACCCTAAACCAAGCCTAAACCAACCCGAAACCACCCACCAGACCAACCCTCAACCACCCCTAAAACTAACCCTAGACCAACCCTAAACCAAGCCTAAACCAACCCTAAACCAAGCCTAAACCAGCCCTAAACCAAACCAACCCTAAACCAAGCCTAAACCAGCCCTAAACCAAACCAACCCTAAACCAAGCCTAAACCAACCCGAAACCACCCACCAGACCAACCCTCAACCACCCCTAAAACTAACCTTAAACCAACCCTAAACCAAGCCTACACCAACCGTAAACCAAGCCTAAACCAACCCTAAACCAACCTTTAACCAGCCCGAAACCAACCCTGAACCAGCCCTAAACCAAACCCTAAAACAACCCTAAACCCTAAACAAAACCAACCTAAACCAACCCCAAACCCGTCCTAAACCAGCCCAAAACCAACCCTGACCCGCCCTAAGACAACCCCTAGACCAACCCTAAACCAACCCTAAACCAGCCCGAAGCCAACCCTAAACCAGCCCTAAACCAACCCTAAACCGACCCTAAACCAACCCTGACCCGCTAAGACAACCCCTAGACCAACCCTAAACCAGCCCTAAACCAACCCTAAACCAGCCCGAAGCCAACCCTAAACCAGCCCTAAACCAACCTTAAAACCGACCCTAAACCAACCCTGACCGCCCTAAGACAATCCCTAGACCAACCCTAAACCAACCCTAAACCCTAAACCAGCCCTAAACCAAACCATAAAACAACCCTAAACCAACCCTGACCCGCCCCAAGACAACCCCTAGACCAACCCTAAACCAACCCTAAACCAGCCCGAAGCCAACCCTAAACCAGCCCTAAACCAGCCCTAAACCGACCCTAAACCAACCCTGACCCGCCCTAAGAAAACCCTAAACCAGCCTGAAACCAACCCTGAACCAGCCCTAAACCAAACCCCAAAACAACCCTAAACCCTAAACCAACCCTAAACCAGCTCGAAGCCAACCCTAAACCAGCCCTAAACCAACCCTAAACCGACCCTAAACCAACCCTAAACCAACCCTGACCCGCTAAGACAGCCCCTAGACCAACCCTAAACCAACCCTAAACCAACCCTAAACCAGCCCAAAGCCAACCCTAAACCAGCCCTAAACCAACCCTAAACCGACCCGAAACCAACCCTGACCCGCCCTAAGACAACCAACCCTAAACCAACCCTAAACCAGCCCGAAGCCAACCCTAAACCAGCCCTAAACCAGCCCTAAACCGACCCTAAACCAACCCTGACCCGCCCTAAGACAACCCCTACCTAGACCAACCCTAAACCAACCCTAAACCAACCCTAAACCAGCCCGAAGCCAACCCTAAACCAGCCCTAAACCAACCTTAAACCGACCCTAAACCAACCAGCCCTAATTCAACCCAAATCCCGACTCTCAAATTCCTAATCCCGAATTCGAGGATGGGGCCTTCCCAGTCCCGAATCCCGAATCCCGAATCCCGAAAATGTGATTCAATCCCGAAATGTGATTAAATTCCGAATCCCGAAAGTGCGCACGACCTCCGGATCACCACTCCAATCAAGAGTCGGATGTAGCTGCACGGCATTTGCAATCTCGTTGGTCAACACATCAGCCTTGGAGATGAGAAAGCATAAGAAAGACGTGAATTTGCAAACTGCATGCACAGGCGCTCAACACACTGCTGCTGGAATGCTTTGGATTGCCTAGACACTGCTAGATCAGATGCTGTAGACTTTGCTTCTGAAGCGGTCCGGGTTTTGATTGTGATGACGATGGATGATGCACCCTGTAGCCGCCGACTGGTTGAATTCGCAAAATCCTTGGACTTCATTGCCATTCCATCACACAGCACATGGTAAGAAGCATTTGGTCAAAACATCTCAACTCGGATGCACACCTACCCACTGGAAACCAAGGGTCTATTTGGATTGCAGATGGATCCAGCCTGGTGGTCGCTGACAAGCTGGCCAGGAGCATTTCCTTACATTGCAGTACGGCATCTTTAATGGAAAGATGTGCTCAGAACCCAAAGCTCTTTCTACAGGAAGCCAGCCTACAAATCCCGAATGTGAGCTTTGCTTTCGGTTTGTTGCAGTCAAGCCGCTATGAGCTGCTGCCGAATCTTCGCAGGATCGTCGGTGGTGGGAAAATTCGCCAGCGATACATTGAACGAGACTGCTGGGACTTCTCTTTCGCTTTGTTGAAGAAGGCTTTCAGAAGCATTGACATCTGTGCCTCCCGAGAAGGCCTGCACAGCAATGCAGGATGTGTTCGAGACTGAGCCTGCTTCATAGGTCGTCTCACCATCTAGGCATGGTGTGCATTCCTCACTGTTGCCAATAGAAGCCTTATAAGAACCGATGGCGCAGGCTGTGCAAGTACCAGCCAAGGCATCAGGCGCGAAACCGCTTGCACAAATGCAAGCGCTGCTCGAAACCTCAGACTGTGAAAAGCTGATGCTACAGCCACGCACTCCTAATGCAACACCTCATGTCTCATGCCTCATGCCTCATGCCTCGTGTCGCATAAAGACATCCTCAAGGCCAGAACAAAATGGTAAATATCGGCCCAACAAACAACTTCAAGACCAGCAGCTGCACCGGACTCCACAGTGGTTTGCCCTGCAGGGCAAGAAATTCTGGTGGCGCTTTCTGGCCGTCCTCCTCTGCAATAGTAGCCCCTGGTGCACGTCTCGCAGTTCAGGCCTGGTCAGGGTGTTGATCAATAGGCTGGCTGGTTCGAAGCAAGTAAACATGTTGGTACAAGTGCCCGGGAAGCTTGGGAGCGTTCCGCTGGCAAGGTCCTGCCTAAGGAGGTGCTGATGGCAAAGCTGCCGGCAGGACAATCCGCTTGCAAATGGCCGGCTGGAGCCTGGAAGAGGGACACCGTGTCGCAGCCGGCTGTTTGTGGGCACCAGCACAAATTGTACAGCCCTGGGAGGGCGGTCAGCGGCAAGAAACCCAACGTGACTTGCAGACCCCCAATGTCTGCCAGCAGCAAGGGAGTTCCCAGGTCGGGGAAGCCTTTCTCGACCATCCCAGTAGCATTACCACAAGGGCCATCAACCACCCACAGCCAGTCGCCAGCAGACAGACCAATCCCAGACAAAGGAATTGTACAGGAGCTGCCCAAGTAACAGTCTGTTGTCTGAGCGAAAGGGCCACTTGCCGTCATGAGCCCCATGCTCGCAATAAAGGCACTTGACTCTGTGCATGTTTGAGTACTTGCCGCTGGCCTGCAGAAGCACATACGAAAAATACCAGGCACGGAAAGTAACGTCTTGCTGCCGTCACCTAGAAAGGCAAAGTCACTTCCATCACCTGTCTCCATGATGCCAGCTGATGGAAAACCAGGAACCGAACTTCCTCTGCCACAATCTGACAAAATCATCATGCGGTCGCCTGGTAGCATTTTTGCTCCTGTGATTCCCCAAACAGCACATGGCTGGCCTACAGCACATCCGCTCTCTTGATTGGTGTTGGGGCCGAGAACGCTCAAGCGCCCACCATTGACCGCAAAGTCTTCTGCATTGGTGCAGGCATCCCACTCGCCGCCCCCGGTGGTGCACCAGCACATGACATAGCCAGCCAAATTTGCATCAAGCTGAAGATGATGATCGTTCTGCGCATCAGAGGTGCCAAATGCCAGGACCATTTGTGTGAAGCTCCCTGTGCTGCTGAGTGGGGTCAAGCTACCCCGGCCAAGCACATTGGATGGCGAAATGGCAATTACTGAGTCTAGGCCGCAGGAATCGCGCTGAAGAAGGATGTCATCGGCAGATAGGTCATATCCTTCAAAAGGCTGCAGGCCAACGCAGTCCGAGCCGCGGACACACTCAAATTGGTTTGCAACTGGCCCTACAACGAGGAGAGTCCCCGCTGACAGAACGAAATTGGCATTCAAATTGTCGCAGACGAGGTCATCGATGTTGGCACACCAGCACAAGTTATACCAACCGCCCTGCGGAGTGAAGGCAGCTGCCCACCAGCCACCCCATTCATACCGCGTGCCATTAGCAGTAGCCGGCTGAGAAATTCCATTGTTTGGAACATTTGCCACTTCCGCTTTCGCACCGCCACAATCACTTGTGGATATCGCCAAACGGTGGCCATCTTGTAGGCTAAATCCGCTAACGCTTTCAGCAAAACAAGCTCTGCCTGATATGCACTGCCGAGTCTGGACAGCGTCCGGGCGCACACAGAAGCTGGCGTCGTCAGCTCCAGTCACAACTGTTGTTGAGCCCTGCATGCAGTCATTGCACTGGGCCGGTGTGCTCGCTCCTGTGTCATTGCTAAACTTGCCTGTCCCGCACAGCACACAGTCGTCCAGCGACGTTGCCGAGGTTACAGTGGAATAGCGGCCTGCTGGGCAAGCCTCGCAACTCGGCAGGCCGCCAATTGAGTAGCGGCCTGCATCGCAGGCTTCGCATGCTTCTTGGCCAAGGCCTGAGAAGCTTCCGGCAGCACAAGCTTGGCAAGGTGCATTGCCAACTTCTGCTTTGAAGAACCCTGGCTCGCAGGCATTGCAAATACCAAGCTCATTGTAAAATCCAGCGGAGCACAGGCACTGGTCCTGACTTGCTGCCGTTTCATTTGGAGTTGTCTGAGACTGGCCGCATGCAGCCTTGTGAGCCCCACCGCGGCAAAAATAACCCTGCCCGCAAACTTGGCAACTAGAGGGGTTTGCGGGGTCTACGCTCACATATCCAGCAGAACAGGTACAGGAAGAGTAAGATATAGCGCCCTGCTGCAGTGTGGTCAAAGGAAACTGTCCAGTGGGACACTGTGCACACTCAACGTCTGCAACTGCCGACTTGTACCGGCCCAAGGGACATTTCACACAGCCCCCTTTGAGACCGGGTAGGGCGGACGCCGGCTGCCTGCCATGTGGGCACTTGCAGTCAGCCAGGCCGGACATGAGTTGACCAGCCGGAAAGCCCAGTCCCTCTGGGCACTGGAGTGACCAAAGCTCTATTGGCTCCAGGTAGATTGGCACAGCTCCGTCCAAAGCTGTCCCCTTCATGTCGTTAAAGAGCCAAGCAGCAAACTCGTTGGCGCCCAACTTGGATTGCACAAGCTGCGCAAGAGCATCCTCCGAGCTTGTCACATCCAGAATGGCATTCCACTGGTTCGACCGGTCGTCAAATTCTGCGCGCACATCCAGCGCCAGCTTCGGTTCGGTTGATATTCCAAGGTAGGTTGCCAAAGCAGAATAAATTTCTTGTAGCAAGGCCTCTGTGGAAGCATCTGTGATCGACAAATGTGCTGTGAACGCAGATGCCGATGCATGCGATGCAGCATAGATTGTATAGCTGAAGTTGCTTGACAACGTCATCAAGTCAGTACATTCAAAGATGTCTGGATCTGGATTTGTATCAATGGCATCTCCCTCGCAACTGCACTCTCGCAAGCTGGCAGCTCCTACTGAGGACGTCGTCCCTAGTGGGCAGGTTCCCTGACAATCCAAGTTGCCAACTTCACCCTTGTAGGAACCTGCCGCGCATGCCAAACACGCGGCAACCACATCATCCCAGTAGTAGCCCTGCCTGCACACACAAGCTGCTGAGCTGGTTGAACCAGCTGGCGAAGTGCTGCCTGCGGGGCAGCTGCTCAAGGTGGCCGGCCACCCGCCAGAACAGTAATGACCCGGACTGCACACGGCACAAATCTGGGTCTCACCGTCGAGGTCGTAAAACCCCGCAGCACACTCCACCCACAACTCCATCGCAAGGCTCCGGTATTGGACCACCGACTCACAGTCTGTGCTTGGCGTGATGGCGCACCAACACAGCTCAACTCGTTCTGGGCCGCCCAGCTCCAGCAGGTCCCCTAGGTTGAAAGTATAGGACCCTGTCGCAGGATCTACAGTGCTGCCAACCGGTGCCTGGGCCCCGAATGTGGCTGTAGGCAAGGCCGCGCCGCACGCGGCCACTGGCACCAGCCTGTCTGTGGCAGCAAGACTGACGCCACGCAAGCCCGTCACGGCGCAATTCTGGCCTCGAGTGCAGGTGGAGGACTGCCCTGTGTATGGCCCGACTGCCAGAAATAGGCCAGCAGCGACGTTGAAGTCGCTGCCTTTGTCACAGCTCATGCCCAGGGATGCATCCGCCCTGCACCAACAGACTCGGAACATGCCAGGATCAGAAGTGAGGTAAGGGTTGGAAGTGGCAGAGAAGACAAAGTTGAGACCATCTTGTGTGTCAGCGTAGCCAGGTGAGGGAAGACCATTCAAGAAGGTTCCGGAACCGCACTGCTGCATGAAGGAAAGCCGGTCACCAGCCACCAAGCTGGTCCCGCCATTTTGCAGAGTGGCAGAACACGGCTGGCCAATGTAGCAGTACACAGATTCTCCTCCAGCGGGCCCTTGGATTTGCAGCGTGCCTCCTTCCGCCTCCAAGTAGACGGAAACCAAATCCATGGAGCTGCAACTCTCGCCTGTCGAGGAGCACCAGCAAAGGGCGTACTCACCAGTTGGTTGCCACAATGTGCCTTCCACGCCAAAGAACAGAACAGTTCCGCTTGAAGTTTCGTTAGCAGTCACTGCCATTGGTACACTGATTTCGCTTGCCAGCTCAAGGGTGCACTGCGCCCGCACGTGGATGACATCTGTGCCTGTCAGGCCGAGCCCCATCATTGGACCAGCCTGATCACAATGGCGACCAATTACGCATGAGAACACCTGGCCGGGATATGGACCTAACACCAGAATCGATCCGGCATCCACCGAATAGCTCGCTGGGGTAAAACACTGCTGAGTCACACCCCCGCACCAACACAGCCGGTAAGTGCCAACAGCTGCAGTCAAATCGTGTGGCCAAGTAAAATTTGTGGAACCCGGCGAGGTGTCACCGAAGTCGCCAAAGCCATCAACTGGCGTGCCGCTGCCTTGCAATCGCCGCATGTATCCTCCTCCCCCTGAGTACCCACCTCCATATCCACCCATGCCACCACCCATGCCACCATAACCCATGCCACCATATCCACCCATGCCACCATATCCACCCATGCCACCATATCCTCCCATGCCACCATATCCACCCATGCCACCATCTCCATATGCACTGGTGCCTCCATAATCTCCAGTAGACTCGCATGTGGAATATTTGGCCATCATTCCATGGTTATTTTGAAAATTGCTGCCCTCCACATCCAGAATCGTACAGGACTTACCTCGAGCACATGAGAAGGTCTGATTTGCTGTCGGAAGGATGCAATCTTGAATGGAGGTGGCGCCATCTGCAAGAGTTGCCAGCCCAGGGCATCCTGTACACTCACCAGGGGACGTCAGACCCGTGTTGCTTGAATACCTGCCTCTCGGACAGGCTCTGCAAATCATATTGCCATAGCCTTGAGCATATCGACCAGGCTCGCAGAGTTCACAACTTTTGGTCTCATTACCGAACAGGTAGCGGCCCGGCTCGCAGCTGTTGCAAGAAGTCTGATTTTCGCCAACGACAAATCTACATGTATTACAAGACCCCATTCCTTCCCAGCGTGTAAATCTCCCTGCTGGACATTGTATGCATGTAGTGTAGTCTGCTGAACCGTACTTGCCAGGTGGGCAATAGCTGCATGAACTGCTACCTTCCGACGTATATGCGCCTTGCCAGCAATCCCAGCAAGTGTAGTCCCATGCGCTCTTATACTTTCCAGCCGCACATGCGACGCATTCTGTGGCATTGTCATTGGCGTACCACCCCACCCCACAGTTCTGGCACTCTGAGGCACTCTCCGCTGAAACAGCCCCCGACGGGCACGTCCAACAAAAGGCAGAATTGGAGGAGGAGTAGGTACCGGCAGTACAATTCAAGCACTCACTAGCCTGGGAAAGTGAATACTTTCCAGCAGGACATGCATAACACTCTCCACTACCGGCGCTTGCCGCTGCCCCCTGCCAGCAGGGCCAACATTCTGTTGACCCTCCATATGAGTACTTTCCACCTTCGCACTCAACGCACTCATTCGTGGTGGAATTCGCATACGTTCCCGCCCCACAGGTGGTGCAGCTTGAAGATCCTGAGTCAGACACCTGGCCCCAGTAACAGTCATAGCAGAAGTAGCCATCCGCGCTGCTCTTTCCTGCGGCGCAAGCCTCGCATGCCGTCCGATTCGTGTTTGGGACATAGCCTGCAGAGCAAGGATCACATTCGATGGTGCCTGGATTTGGCGCTGAACCGGACCAGCAGTCTGAGCATTCGGTAAAGCCCTGGTCGTTTGCAAACTTCCCAGGAATGCACTCCACACAAGCCGATGCTGCATAAGAATCGGAAGCGCGACCAGGAGGGCACGAGAAGCACAGGTCGACGGAGACGTGGAGCCTCCACTCCACCCCGTCATCAGAGATGTAGGTGCCTGGAGGGCAATCGGTGCAACTGGACGCTCCGGGGCTGTCTGCATACTTACCCGCTGGGCAGACAGAACAGTTGCCATCTTGCAGGAAGAATCCATCTGTGCAGCTGTTTGCCATGACAGTTGGGACCAGCAAAAAAAATAGCTCGAACCATTTGAGGTGAGGAAAGGCGTTCATTTGCAGCTAGAGAAAGCCGTCTTTGACGTGCTGCCTCCACATGATTTCGGGCTCTACATGGTGAGCACTTGAGCAAGACATCGCCAGAAGGCAAACAGGACAAGTGCTACATTTCAGCTTAAACGACCGCATTGCGAAGTCATAGGTATCTGAGAGGCTAGAGAACAAGCTGCGCCACTTTGCCAGCAGAATGGCCTTCATGTTCCCGGCGTACATGAGTGACACGACGGATCCAACTGTGCATTTGCACAGGGGATGGCCGTTTGTCCTACCCGGAAAAAAAGCAGGCCTCACACTACGATCTGCTGGATGATGCCTCACAGCGACAAGGATGGTGCCTCACGGTCGGCGCATGATGCTCCTGATGTATTGCTGTTGTTGCGATTGTTGCGTTGTGGCTGCCGTTGTTGCTGTTGCCGTTATCGTCGTCATGTCATCATGTCTTTTGTTGTCACCGTGACTGATGTTCATGCTGTTGTTTCTGCTGTTGTTCTTGATCTTGTTTTTGCCCTTGTTTTTGTTGTTCTTGTTATTGTTCTTCTGTTGGTTGTTGTAGTTGTCGTTGCTGTTGTTGTCGTTGAAGTTGCCGTTGCCGTTGCCGCTGTCGCTGTCGCTGTCGTTGTTGTTGTTGTTGTCGTCGTCGTCGTCGTCGTCGTCGTCGTCGTTGTTGTTGTTGTTGTTGTCGTTGTCGTTGTTGTTGTCGGTGTCGTCGTTCTTGTGATATTGCTATTGGTATTGTTAGTGTTGTCGTTGTTCTTCCTGACGCCGACGCTAAGGTTGATGCTGTTGCTGTTGCTGCTGTTGGGGCTGTTCTCGCTGTCGTTGCTATTGCTGTTGTTGTTGTTGCTTGATGGCTGATTGTTTGTTGTTTGTTGTTTGTTGCTTGTTCGCTGCATGTTGCTGTTTGTTGTTTGTTGCTTGTTGTTTGTCGCTTGCTGTTTGTGGTTTGTTGTTGGTTTCTGCTTGCTTGATTGTTTGTACGCGCAGTGGTTTGGGTTGCTGGTGTTGTTGTTGCTGTTTTTGTTGTTGCTGCTGTTGCTGCTGCTGTTGCTGTTGCTGTTGCTGTTGCTGTTGTTGTTTAATTGTTGCTTGTTGGTTGTTTGTTGGTTGTTGTTTGCTGTTTGTTGTTTGTCGATTGTTGCCTGTTCTTCTTTGGTGTTTGTGGTTTGGCGTTTGATGCTTGTTGTTTGTCGTTTGGTGTTTGTTGCTTGTTGTTTGTTGCTTGTTGTTGTTGCTGCTGCTGTTGTTGCTGTTGTTGTTGTTGGTTGATGGTTGTTTTTTGGTGTTTGTTGTTTGGTGTGTTTGCTTGTTTCCTAGGGCTTCGCCATCACCAGCTGCGCTGGCCAGTCGGACCCAACCCACACTCCACGCGCCCACCCAAGCACGCGCTCGCTGCGAACCCACACGCGCAAGAGGCTGCGAGGTTGCTTGCCCAACCCCCCTGACAGTGAGCATGCACTCGCCCACCCTAGCTTGCGTGCATGTGTGCCTGCTTGCGTCCGGCGCGCGCACGCGCCGCACGGGTCTCACACCGAAAGCCAACCAGACCAAAAAGTGCATCCCCGGGCCCGTCCCAGCCCCACAGAAACCCGTGGGAAAAATGAAGGACGGTACGCGCGATGTTTTCCGCACAGCGGCGGTGGCCGCACTTGCGCGAGCTCACTTGATCGCAGACTTGCCCGCCATGTCCGCCTACCGCCAAAACCTACTCTCAGGGGGCCATCTTTGTCGGGTTTGCGCGATGCAGGGGATGCAGGGGATGTAAGGGATGCTGGAACACCCAGATGCTGCTGATGCAGGAATGCCGCGCTGGCAAAGTTTGCGGGGATGCAAAGGATGTTGGCGGGGATGCTGGCGACTGTCCGGGGCGATTTGCACAGTACTTATAGTGTTTTTTGAAGGTCGGGCAACGTGGCATTAGAAGCCCGTCGCAAGGCCAGGGAGGCCGGGGATGCTTTGGGGTCCAAGTGTTTGGGCCGGCCTGCGTGCAGGTGATGCAGGCAACGCTGAGGAGGAGCTTGGGGTGCAACAAAACACGTCAGCGAGTAGGGTTGCCCTCGCTCTTCGGGCTCAAAGACACAGCACAGCTGGACTTGTTTGGCGCTTGTTGTTTGTTGTTTGTTGTTTCTTGTGTGTGACGCTTGTTGTTTGTTGTTTGTTGCTTGATGTTTAGCATTTGTTGTTTGTTGTTTGTTGTTGTTTGTTGTTGCTTGTTGTTGTTTGTTGTTGTCCGCCGACATTGCTCGGCGTGTCGGACACCTAAGAGAGGATAGAGGATAACCCCCCCCCCCTAACCCCCCCGCCCGGCGTCGGATACGTGGGGGGGGGGGGGGGAGGGGGGGGCCCCCCCCCCCCCCCAAGGACCGCGCGGCAATTTGATGACGTTCCACTAAACGTAGTCTTCGGGGAGCCGGTGTCGCAAAACAGGGGTCCCAGGCTCGATTCCCCCTGCCGGCTCTTTGGTTTGGGGTTCCTGCCTCCTTTTGCGGAAAATCTGGAAAATCTCTGTGTTTTTGGACGTCCTAATTGTGAAAACGCTGGAAAACCCGTGTTTTTTTGCTGGAAACATTGGGGAGCAGAGGGGAAATGCAAGGAAGTGCAAGTGAAATGAAGGGAGGAAATAGGAAGTCGACATGACAGGAAAGCAGCGGGACAAAGGGAAACAAAGGGGAACTGAAAGGGACATGCAAGGGACAGAAATGAAAACAAGGGGAGTGCAGGGGGAAGGAGAGGAAACAAAGCACAAGGAAACCAAGCACGACGGGAGATGTAGGGAAATGACTCGCAACGAAAGAACGGGACATACATGGCAAATGAAGCGGACATACCGAGAAAATGTCAGGGACATGAAGGGGGGGCTGAATGGCATGGAAGGGACAGGACCAGGACATCATGGGAAACGTGACAAGGACATGAAGGGGGAAAGCCAGTAGTGAGATGACAGTTCAGGGTCATGCAGGGGCAGTGCCCGGACATCGAGGCAACTCGGGGGGGGACGTGACGCTGCAATGCAGAGAGAGAGAGAGAGAGAGAGAGAGAGAGAGAGAGAGAGAGAGAGAGAGAGAGAGAGAGAGAGAGAGAGAGAGAGAGAGAGAGAGAGAGAGAGAGAGAGAGAGAGAGAGAGAGAGAGAGAGAGAGAGAGAGAGAGAGAGAGAGAGAGAGAGAGAGAGAGAGAGAGAGAGAGAGAGAGAGAGAGAGAGAGAGAGAGAGAGAGAGAGAGAGAGAGAGAGAGAGAGAGAGAGAGAGAGAGAGAGAGAGAGAGAGAGAGGGAGAGAGCGGGAGAGAGACAGAGAGAGAGACAGAAAGAGAGAGAGAGAGACAGAGCCACAGACAGAGCCAGAATCAGAGAAACAGAGAAAGAGACAGACAGAGAGAGAGACAGCGAGAGAGAGAAAGACGGAGACTGAGAAAGAGAGACACAGAAAGACAGAGAGAGAGAGAGAGAGAGAGAAGAGAAAGAGCGAGAAAGTGAGAGAGTAGAGAGGTTCGAATTAGGGTGCCCTTTTTCTGTAGAGGGGCGTGGACAGGAAGGAGACAGGGAGACAGAAAGAGACAGAGAAACAGAGACAGCGAGAGAGAGAGAGTGGGAGATTGAGGAGAGAGAGGCTTGGGGGGATGGGGAGAATGGGGAGCAGAGGGAGGGAGAGAGGACGACAGAACGCACGAGGGAGACAAGGGAGAGGGAAGAAGGAGAAAAGGGAGAGGACAATGTCGGCGGACTGAGCCGGAGGCTCTAAAGTTTGTTGTTGTTTGTCGTTGGTCGTTGGTGGTTGTGGTTGTGGTTGCGGTTGTGGTTGTAGTTGTGGTTGCGGTTGTGGTTGCGCATCGTCGTTGTCGTTGTGGCGGTTGTCCTTGTCCTTGTTGTGGTTGTTGTTGTTGTTACATGTTGGCACTCTGCTGTTCAGCCGCACGTCGCTCAGACGCACCCATGCCTGGCACATGGTAAGCACACCCGCCCACGCGCATGTTGCTCAAATCCCATGCCTGGCACATGGTAAGCACACCCGCCCACGCGCACGCCGCTCAGATGCCACGACTGGCACATGGCAAGCACACCCGCCCACGCGCATGTCGCTCAAACGCACCCTTGCCT